GACAATATATTTTTAAACGATGGCTGGGATGATGACGTCACTACCACCAGTGACATCATGGGGGAATTAATGACGTCACCAGCTTACCCCTTTTCAGTGTACCGGAAGATCTTGTGAGACAGATCTGTTCCATCCCCTAATTTTCTGTCACTTTGGCAACACTCGCCATCCTTGTCTTGTGAGACCCCTTCCCTCTTCCCTATATCTCCCTCCCCCCCCTCCCCCAGGCACCTCTTCCCCCCCCCCTCCCCAACCCCCACCACCCACCACCCCCCACCACCCCCCACCTTGGCCTCTCGATCGATGGAGACACAGGAGTAAATCACAACACGTCGCTTATAATTGTACCAAGTTAAAGGTCAACACTGCCTTACACACTCACATGTGGACCATCATGGCTGAGTCGGTTAGTGCAGGTGTCTGAGGTTCCCCAGAATGCGGGGTTCGAGTCCCTCCAGTGTCTCAAAATGACTTTATTTTGCCTCAAAAATGACACACACAAAAACCACAAATAGGTATATAGCTATTAATTATGGCTAATTATGGCTTGGTGGCGCCGGGTTGTAGACAGTTGTAACAACCTTATTACCTTGTTTTTTTAGATGTTAAAGGTTATATATCCTTTCCCTTCCACACTACACCTGAACACCCACTACACCTCAGTACCCATTACACACCTACACCTCAGTACCCATTACACACCTACCACTACATCCTTTCAATATCACCCATTACACCTCCACCACTACACCTACTAAACCCCACAACACCCATTACAACTCCACAACACCCCTTCACTACACCCCCCTCACAACACCCCTTCATTACACCCCCCTCACAACACCCCACAACACCCCCTCACAACACCCCCTCACAACTCCCCACAACACCCCCTCACAACACCCCCATCACAACACCCCCTCACAACACCCCACTACACCCCCTCACTACACCCCCCACCCCACAACACCCCACTACACCCCCCTCACAACACCCCACTACACCCCCCCCACCCTCACAACGTACACTGGCAGAGATCAACACACATATAAACAGTATTTACGACACCCGATAACACCCGTTGTATTTATGTAGTTTATCCTGGGAGTGATCAGTGGGCGGGTGGGTGACCAGGCTACTGCCCCGCCCCGTCCTGCACCCGCCCGCCCCCAGGCCGGCCCCGTCCTCCACCCATCTGTCCACCCCCAGTCCTGCCCCGTTCGGCAACCAGGGCAAGCCCCGTCCCCGTTAAAAAGACGTCCTAACCTCACCTCAAAACTCCGTCCCACGCCACACCCCAAGCCCCGCCCCACACCCGAAGCCCCGCCCCACACCCCAAGCCCCGCCCCCCCATACCCCAAGCCCCGTCCCCCCATACCCCAAGCCCCGTCCCCCCATACCCCAAGCCCCGCCCCCCCATACCCCAAGCCCCCCCCCTCTCGCCCCCCCCCCAGTCACAGTAATGTGGTGGAGGCAGACTCCTACACAATTTCATATGTAGAGTTGATAGAGCCCAATAAGCTCCAGAATCTGTACACCAGATGACTGGCAGTCAAGAGGCTGGACTGAAGAGCCAAAGCTCAACCCCCGCAAGTACAACTAGGTGAGTACACTCACACCAAGACAGGAGTATAAAAAGGACAAAATCAATATAAGAGAGAGAGAGAGAGAGAGAGAGAGAGAGAGAGAGAGAGAGAGAGAGAGAGAGAGAGAGAGAGAGAGAGAGAGAGAGAGAGAGAGAGCAGCCTCTATTGCTGGCAGGAATGGACTATCCAAATTGTTAATCACAGGAGATATCAATTATGGAAAGATAGACTGGGAGAGCAGCGACCCACAAGGAGGAACAGATCCATGGAGGAGGACTATTGCATGTGGCAACAAGAAACCTTCTAAGTCACCATGTCAAGGGACCCGCAAGAATGAGAGGCAATGATGAATCAGCTCGACTTGATCTGATATTTACCCAAAATGAGTCCGGCGCGTAATTGAAATTGAAATAAGTTTATTGAGGTAAAATACACACAAAGGGATGAGGTAGCTCAAGCTATTCTCACCCCCGGCGCGTAATGGGAGTCAAATTAGAAGCCCACATGGGTATGAGTGACCACAGTGTGCGGACATTTGAGTGTCTGGTGGAGGGAGGAACACCCTACCCAAGGAAGGGCCCAGAATACAAAGGGTTAGTACACCGAAAGAGGAAACTATGATGAGATGAGAAAGTTCCAAATAGGAATACCATGGGAAACAGAGCCGAGAGAAAAGTCTGTACAGGACATGATGGACTACGTCACCCAGACGTGTCAGGAGGCAGAACACAAGTTTATCTCGGCCCAAAACAAAAAAACAAACAAAGGTGGAATACGTTGTTTAATCGCACATGTATGGAAGCAAGACAATTAAATACAGAGACAATCTTCTTTTTGAGATTATCTTGAGATGATTTCGGGGCTTAGCGTCCTCACGGCCCGGTCCTCGACTAGGCCTCCTTTTCGTTACACACACTCCAGGAAGCAGCCCGTAGGAGCTGTCTAGCTCCCAGGTACCTATTTACTGCTAGATAACAGGAGCATCAGGGTGAAAGAAACTCTGCCCATTTGTCTCCACCTCCACCGGGAATCAAACCCGGAACTTCAGGACTACGAATCCGAAGCGCTATCCACTCGGCATGTGTGAAGAGATTCCAGGAGGCCTTCACAATAGAACAAGGAGAAGTTCCTGAACTAAAACAGGTGACAATAAACCAGGCAGCTTTGGGAGATTTTATTTTGCAATTACCAGAGATAAGGTTAGGAGATATCTGTTTTATCTGGACATTATAACAACTGTTGGACCCAACAGAATCTCACTATGGATACTAAAAGAGGGTGCAGAAGCACTTTGCATACCACTCTATGGTGTACAACAAGTCACTTGAAACAGACCTACCAGAAAGTTGGAAGACAGGTACTATAGTCCCAATATACAAAAAAGGGTAACAGGCAAGGGCACTGAACTACAGGCCAGCATTCCAAACATGTATACCATACAAGGTGATGGAGAAAATCGTAAGGAAAAAATCTTGAAGGGGGAGATTAAATAAATCCTTGGAAGAACTTTATAACACACCAGCAGCATGGGTTCAGGGATAGCAAATCATGCCTCACAGGTTTAATAAAACTCTATGACCAGGTGACAAAAATTAAGCAAGAAAGAGAAGAGTAGGCAGACTATATTTTCTTGGACTATTAGAAAGCATTTGACACAGTACCCCATAAGGGACTGGTGTATAAGTTGGAGAAACAGGCAAGAGTAACTGACAGGGTGGAAGATGGCTCCAGGGGATAAGGGAGTACCTAAGCAACAGAAGTCAGAGTTACTGCAAGAGGCGAGACTTGATTATGTTATGTCACCAGCGGAATCCCAGAGGGTTCTGTATTTGGACATACCATGTTTCTGATATACGCAAATGATCTGCCAGAAAGTATAGACTCATTCCTCTCAATGTTTGCTGATGATGCAAAAATTATGAGAAGGATTAAGACAGAGGAGGAGGACAGCAAGAGACTATAAGATGACCTGGACAAACTCAAGGAATGGTCCAACAAATGGCCACTATAGTTTACCTCAAGTAAGTGTAAAGTAATGAAAATAGGCATAGGGAGCATGAGGCCAGATACAAAGTATCATTTGGGAGATTAAATCTTTCAAGAATCAGGAAAGAAAGATCTGGGGGTTGATATCATGCCGGATTTGTCCCCTGAAACCCACATGAAAAAGATATCATTAACGACATACGCTCAATGAGCCAACATAAGAACTGCCTTTAGAAACTTGCATTAGGAATCATTAACGACCCTGTATACCACATATGTCAGACCAAGCCTGAAATATGCAGCTAAAGCGTGGATTCCATATCTAGTTAAACACAAGACGAAGTTACACAAAGTTCAGAAGCATGCCACAAAACTCGTACCCGAGCTGAGGGGTTCAAGCTACGAGGAAAGACTACTGGAATTAAACCTCACTTCACTAGCAGACAGAAGAGTTATAGAGGACATGATTACCACCTACAAGAGTCTCAGAAGAATTCACAGGGTAGACAAAAACAAATTATTTAACACTGGTGGTACACGAACAAGGGGACTCAGGTGGAAGCTGAGTACCCAAATGAGCCACACAGACATTAGAAAGAACTTTTTCAGTGTCAGAATAGTTAGTAAATGGAATGATATAGGTAGTGATGTAGTGGAGGCTGACTCCATACACAGTTTCAAATGTAGATATGATAAGAGTCCAGTAGGCTCAGGAACCTGTACAGCAGTTGATTGACGGTTGAGAGGCGGGAACAAAGAGCCAGAGCTCAACCCCCGCAAGCACAGCTAAGTGAGTACTACAACTTGAAGTTCCTCGCTGCAGTGCTCATCTCGCGCATTAATCAACTCTGAATTATTAATCGGTAACGTAATCAAACACCGAATTCTCAGTCTCTCTCTCTCCGGTGTCCTGCGGTGCGTCCGATCGCCTTACGGACACGCCTATCCGGACTCCGGCCACCCGTTCCTCTTAACCGGATCCCTGTCGCAAACTATTCGTATTCGACCTCCGCTTACACAGACCCCTAGTTGTGGTGGTACCACGCCTCTTATCCGGAATACAGACACCACCCCTCCGCTAATCCGGATGCCAGTATCCGACTCCTGTAATCCAGAGGCAGGTTACTACGTTCACAATTATGTAAATATCCGGATAATATGTCATATTGTATATGACATATTCGGATGCAGTTCGGATGGCATACGTCAACCGAACTGTATTTATTATACAACACCTGAAACCATAAAATTATATTGAAAACAGGTCAATACACTCGTGCACCCACCGCGCGGGCGTACGGGCGTGCACCCACCGCGCGGGCGTACGGGCGTGCACTCACCACGGGGGCGTGCACCCACCGCGCGGGCGTACGGGCGTGCACCCACCGCGGGGGCGTGCACCCGGTGGGAGATGGGAAGTAGGGTGTGTCAGTGGGAGATGAGAGGCAGGGAGTGTGACGGAGGAAGGCTGGGAGATGGCAGGCTGGCAGATGGTAGGCTGGGAGATGGCAGGCTGGCAGATGGCAGGCTGGGAGATGGCAGGCTGGCAGATGGCAGGCTGGCAGATGGCAGGCTGGCAGATGGCAGGCTGGGAGCTGACAGGCTGGCAGATGGCAGGCTGGCAGATGGCAGGCTGGCAGATGGCAGGCTGGTAGATGGCAGGCTGGCAAATAGCAGGCTGGCAAATAGCAGGCTGGGAGATGGCAGGCTGGCAGATGGCAGGCTGGCAGATGGCAGGCTGGGAGCTGACAGGCTGGCAGATGGCAGGCTGGCAGATGGCAGGCTGCCATCTGCAAGGCTGATGGGAGATATTAGTGTAAAGCACTAAGACAACACATTAGAACCCCTTCTCATTCCACCTATCCACTTCTACGTTCCCTCTTCCTTCCAACCTTTCCCTCCCCCCTTCCCACCATATCCTCATACCCCAGCCAGCCGGCCAGCCAGCCAGCCAGCCGGCCCTTAACTCACTCGCTAAGCACTTATGTGGCACTTTGTTAATTACCCCTCATGGGTAATTACCATAATTACCAGGTGGTAATGAGCCAGAATAACAGGTAGGCTCTCACCTGAAGAGTAATAGTGGCTTTGGTAGTACGGTGTTAGCAGATAGCAGATTGGCTGAGAGTGGGAGCGAGGAGGGGAGGGGGGGAGAGATTTATGATTTGGTCAATGGCTGCTTGTGTCTGCGTGGCCCTGAGTGGCCCTGAGTGGCCCTGGGTGGCCCTGAGTGGCCCTGAGAGGCCAAGGACACACACACACACACACACACACACACACACACACACACGGGGGCTGCACACACACCATATCTTCCAAACATCAAACACAAATCTGGCTTAACTATCCAGTATCCCATTTCAGATCTAGTTTTTACCCTTCAACCATTTTTTTTCTTCCATTTGCCTGTTTCTTCCTGTAAATAATCTGATTGTGGGGCCGGTGTTATAATTCCTCTGTTGCTATCGCACTCAGGAGACTCCGGTGTTCCTGCAGCTATCGGGAGAACTATCTACCAAGGAACCAGTTCCGTCTATCAAGCGTAAGATGAGGGGAGGGGGAAGAGTCCCGCCTTCTGTAGCCTATCGTCTTAGCTTGTTGCTTGAGCCTGTGAATAGCCATCAATATATTTTCTAGTCACAGTTGTGGCGACTTTAAAGAATATTGGTAAATAGTTAATGGCGTCGTAACACGCTTAGTCTGTCTCATATCCTCTAGAGAGAGAGAGAGAGAGAGAGAGAGAGAGAGAGAGAGAGAGAGAGAGAGAGAGAGAGAGAGAGAGAGAGAGAGAGAGAGAGAGAGAGAGAGAGAGAGAGAGAGAGAGAGAAGACTGACTGACTGACTGACTTTTACAACTACTCATTCAGAAGGAAATTCCTACATGGTTGAGGAAATTCCTAACAGGACGTAAGTGAAGCAGCTCACTTACGATAGCTATCACCCTCGGCCCTCCCCAACCCAACACACCCAACCCACCCAACCCACCCAACCCAACCCACCCAACACACCCAACCCACCCAACCCACCCAACCCAACCCACCCAACCCAACTAATGCTGTCTTGAAAACATCCGTCCTTAACATACCGATGGAACAACATTATTTTTAAGGCATTCAAAAAAATACATATTACTAAATATTTTGAGAAAGTCCTTAACCAACATAACTATATCGAGTTGGAAAGGGATATGAGGACAAGGAGCTGGGATATGAGGACAAGGAGCTGGGATATGAGGACAAGGAGTTGGGATATGAGGACAAGGAGCTGGAATATGAGGACAACGAGCTGGGATATGAGGACAAGAAGCTGGGATATGAGGACAAGAAGCTGGGATATGAGGACAAGAAGCTGGGATATGAGGACAAGGAGCTGGGAAATGAGGACAAGGAGCTGGGATATAAGGACAAGGAGATAGGATATGAGGACAAGGAGCTGGGATATGAGGACAAGGAGCTGGGATATGAGGACAAGGAGCTGGGATATGAGGACAAGGAGCTGGGATATGAGGACAAGGAGTTGGGATATGAGGACAAGGAGCTGGAATATGAGGACAAGGAGCTGGGATATGAGGACAAGAAGCTGGGATATGAGGACAAGAAGCTGGGATATGAGGACAAGGAGCTGGGATATGAGGACAAGGAGCTGGGATATAAGGACAAGGAGATAGGATATGGGGACAAGGAGCTGGGATATGAGGACAAGGAGCTGGGATATGAGGACAAGGAGCTGGGATATGAGGACAATGAACTGGGATATGAGGACAAGGAGCTGGGATATGAGGACAAGGAGCTGGGATATGAGGACAAGGAGCTGGGATATGAGGACAAGGAGCTAGGATATGAGGACAAAGATCTGGGACACGAGGACAAGGAGCTGGTATTTAGGACAAGAAGCTGGGATATGAGGACAAGGAGCTGGGATATGAGGACAAGAAGCTGGGATATGAGGACAAGGAGCTGGGATATGAGGACAAGAAGCTGGGATATGAGGACAAGGAGCTAGGATATGAGGACAAAGATCTGGGACACGAGGACAGGGAGCTGGGATATGAGGACAAGGAGCTGGGATATGAGGACAAGGAGCTGGGATATAAGGACAAGAAGCTGGGATATGAGGACAAGGAGCTGGGATATGAGGACAAGAAGCTGGGATATGAGGACAAGGAGCTGGGATATGAGGACAAGAAGCTGGGATGTGAGGACAAGGAGCTGGGATATGAGGACAAGAAGCTGGGATATGAGGACAAGGAGCTGGGATATGAGGACAAGAAGCTGGGATATGAGGACAAGGAGCTGGGATATGAGGACAAGGACCTATTCAACGCAGCTCCTGATTTATGTGCACCCAAACTCATTCATAAATATGTCTCTCCAGCGCTGGAAACACTCCTGCGGGCACACGACCATTATTGTCCCCGGTAATTTGTTCCATAAATCAACAATCCTGTTCCCAAACCAAGACAGCTGCATGCTAGGGGCCTACGACACGGGGCTACGACACGGGGCTACGACACGGGGCTACGACACGGGGCTACGACACGGAGCTACGACACGGAGCTACGACACGGGGCTACGACACGGAGCTACGACACGGAGCTACGACACGGGGCTACGACACGGAGCTACGACACGGAGCTACGACACGGGGCTACGACACGGAGCTACGACACGGAGCTACGACACGGGGCTACGACATGTAGCTACGACACGAAGCTACGACAAGGAGTTATGAAGTAAAAAAAAAAAGTAGGCTGGAGTACATAAGTGAAGAAAGATGTGTCTGGAATAGGCAGGATACCTGGGGCATACCTGAAGAGGATTTCGAGAGTTCCTCTACTCCCCAAAGTTCGGCCCCGGGGCCAGGCTCAACTTGGTGATAATTTGGTCCAACAGGCTGTTGCTTGGAGCGGCCCGCATAGGATAGGGAGACCGAAGAGCATGACGGCTAGATAGAGATAAGATAAGTTGTGGAGCTGGATCCATCAAATACTTAAGTTTCCCCTCAATCCTCACAATCCTGGCGGCTAAGTTTACATTTATTAACAAGTTTACGAGCTCTGAAGCGCTACGAGGTTTACCATAACAATAATAAACTGAGGTTAAGAACCAGCTCCCAGCGTCCCCACCTCGTAAACTGTTTACTTAATACAAAGTCACCATGATTGAGGAAAGATGGACAGGTTTCGTTAGTGGACCCTGTGTTGTCAACCCCTTCCCCCCCTTTCCCTCCTCTCCCATTTCCAGCCCTCCTTCCCACCCGTTGCCAGCCTCCCTCTCCTCCTGTTGCCAGCCTCCCTCCCCTCCCGTTGCCAGCCCCCCTCCCCTCTCGTTGCCTGCCCCCCTCCCCTCCCGTTGCCAGCCCCCCTCCCCTCTCGTTGCCTGCCCCCCTCCCCTCCCGTTGCCAGCCCCCTCCCCTCCCGTTGCCTGCCCCCCCTCCCCTCCCGTTGCCAGCCTCCCTCCCCTCCCGTTGCCAGCCCCCCTCCCCTCCCATTGCCTACCCCCCTCCCCTCCCGTTGCCAGCCCCCTCCCCTCCCGTTGCCTGCCCCCCTCCCCTTCCGTTGCCAGCCCCCTCCCCTCCCGTTGCCTGCCCCCCTCCCCTCTCGTTGCCTGCCCCCCTCCCCTCCCGTTGCCAGCCTCCCTCCCCTCCCGTTGCCAGCCCCCCTCCCCTCTCGTTGCCTGCCCCCCTCCCCTCCCGTTGCCAGCCCCCTCCCCTCCCGTTGCCTGCCCCCCTCCCCTTCCGTTGCCAGCCCCCTCCCCTCCCGTTGCCTGCCCCCCTCCCCTCTCGTTGCCTGCCCCCCTCCCCTCCCGTTGCCAGCCCCCTCCCCTCCCGTTGCCTGCCCCCCTCCCCTCCCGTTGCCAGCCTCCCTCCCCTCCCGTTACCAGCCCCTCTCCCCTCCCGTTGCCAGCCCCCCTCCCCTCCCGTTGCCAGCCTACCTCTCCTCCTGTTGCCAGCCTCCCTCCCCTCCCGTTACCAGCCCCCCTCCCCTCCCGTTGCCAGCCTACCTCTCCTCCCGTTGCCTGCCCCCCTCCCCTCCCGTTGCCAGCCCCCTCCCCTCCCGTTGCCTGCCCCCCTCCCCTCCCGTTGCCAGCCTACCTCTCCTCCCGTTGCCTGCCCCCCTCCCCTCTCGTTGCCTGCCCCCCTCCCCTCCCGTTGCCAGCCCCCTCCCCTCCCGTTGCCTGCCCCCCTCCCCTCCCGTTGCCAGCCCTCCCTCCCCTCCCGTTGCCAGCTCCCTCCCCTCCCGTTGCCTGCCCCCTCCCCTCCCGTTGCTACCCCCTCCCCTCCCGTTGCCAGCCCTCCTCCCCTCCTGTTGCCAGCCTCCCTCCCCTCCCGTTGCCAGCCCCCTCCCCCCTCCCGTTGCCTGCCCCCCCTCCCCCCTCCCGTTGCCTGTCCCCCTCCCCTCCCGTTGCCTGTCCCCCTACCCTCCCGTTGCCAGCCCCCCTCCCCTCCCACCGTATCAGGCGGAGCGAGCCCCCCCCCCACATCAGGAGATGGGCGCCACGATAAGCCAGCCCACTCATCATCTTTCCCTTCAACATTATACCCCCAGATATACCCCACGATATGCGGGCGATAAGCGGCGGTTATACTCGGCCAGGAACCCGGCACTGGAAGTCGCTCGAACCCAGTTCTTCTCCATTATCACCGCATGTGTGAATGTTGGGAGGGAGGGGGAGGGGGAAAGAGAGGGAGGGGGGGGAAGGAAAGAGAGAGAGAGAGAGAGAGAGAGAGAGAGAGAGAGAGAGAGAGAGAGAGAGAGAGAGAGAGAGAGAGAGAGAGAGAGATATTTCTCCAAATGACTATAAATACAATATAAGAAATCAAGGGGTGCCGGGCGCTATGCATAGCGGTGCCTGGCGCTATATATAGCGGTGCCGGGCGCTATATATAGCGGTGCCGGGCGCTATATATAGCGGTGCCGGGCGCTATATATAGCGGTGCCGGGCGCTATATATAGCGGTGCCGGGCGCTATATATAGCGGTGCCGGACGCTATATATAGCGGTGCAGGGCGCTATATATAGCGGTGCCGGGCGCTATATATAGCGGTGCAGGGCGCTATGCATATATATATGCATACACACATACACACACACATATATATATATATATATATATATATATATATATATATATATATATATATATATATATATATATATATATATATATATATATATATATGTGTGTGTGTGTGTGTGTGTGTGTGTGTAAATCACGAAAATAAACACGTGATTAAAAATGTGACAGTGTCAGACCACGGAGGAAAATTGAAACAGGAATTTCCTTAAGTACTTTCGTATATTAATACATCTTCAGAAGGAGTGATTTTACAGGTCAAGTATTGGACATAAATAGGCAGGAGAGAATGGTGGAGTGAGGTGAGGAACAATAACAAATGAATGGGCATTAGGTGGACTCAAATATAAGCCGCATAAGAAATGCTGAAGACCTATTGGCCCATACGATGCAGCTCCTATCCAAACCCACCAATTGGCCCACACATGGATTATAATAGCATAAGATAGTAAATATTTACAATGAATTAGTGAGATAAATGTGTTCCAATGATCCTACTCAAATCGCTCTTTAATTGATCTATCAAAATGCTTTGTTGGCCTGTTGGTGGGTTTGGATAGGAGCTGCATCGTATGGGCCAATAGGCCTTCAGCATTTCTTATGCGGCTTATATTTGAGTCCACCTAATGCCCATTCATTTGGAGGTGTACCTCACCTCACTCCACCATTCTCTCCTGCCTATTTATGTCCAATACTTGACCTGTAAAATCACTCCTTCTGAAGATGTATTAATATACGAAAGTACTTAAGGAAATTCCTGTTTCAATTTTCCTCCGTGGTCTGACACTGTCACATACATATATATATATATATATATATATATATATATATATATATATATATATATATATATATATATATATATATATATATATATATATATATTAGTATATTTTGGTAGCAGTTTTTCTTGTAAACTTATGTTGTTAAATATGACCGAAAAGGTAAGATTAATAATTCTAACACGAATCTCAATATCTCTTATGATTTTTTTTCACTGTCGAGGGTAAATGAAATATCAACTCTACAAAATTCATTTTTATTTTTGGTCAGACGCCTAGAAGCGTTTCGTAAGGGCTTCTTACATTATCAAAAAACTTGTTTACACTTAACACTTGATACACTGTGTATCAGTGTATCACGACCAGATAGCCATCAAGAACTTGGTCAAAGAAACCATCCAAAAGCAAAATACAACCTACGTAAGACCAACTTTTGAGAATGCAGCCCTATACAATATACAACGAAGATCGCTCTTCAACTGAAGGGAACAAGGAAAAATGGCGAGTGATACGGTAATTACCAGTGAACGTAACGAGCATGGTGACAGTAAGCCACCATATATAGAATGATCAACACACACGTCATATCCTCATCAAATGGATGAGGGCAGCCTCATCAGATCATCTTATTCTCCAGTCAACTCCCTCTAAGACACTCCCAACCACTTGGGCTGGACGGTAGAGCGAAGATCTCGCTTCATGCAGGTCGGCGTTCAATCCCCCGACCGTCCACAAGTGGTTGGACACCACTCCTTTCCCTCGTCCCATCCCAAATCCTTATCCTGACCCCTTCCCAGTGCTATATAGTCGTAATGGCTTGGCACTTTCTCCTGATGATTCCCCTCTAAGACACTTTAACCTGGACGGACGGACGGACGGACGGACGGACGGGCGGACGACACGACAGAAGGACGGGACAATCCACACTTTAGACAGCGATTAACTAGCCTCTGTCCCATGAGAAACAACGTCCGCTTGTATCATACACTTACTCTAAGTAACTCGCTTCCCAGGACAGTCTATAAGACGAGTATCCATCCCGTGCTACTAACTGGCTCTCAGCTGCCAAGCTGGCAATTGGCAGTCGACCGCGAGGCTGACGATTGACTGGGCCATGTACTGCAGAGTACTGATATGTAGTCCGTCGCTTACTGCTGCGGAAACCTGCGGAAACCTGCGGAAACCTGCGGAAACCATCAAGATTGTAACTTGCTCAGCTAAATGAATTGTGGGGTTCAGTCCCTGAGCCCATTATGTGCCTCTGTAACCCTTTCCACTACCGCCCACAAGATGGGTATGGGGTACATAATAAATGAACTAAACTTAACTCTCAACGCTAACAGTTGTGAACCACGAGCGAGGGAGGTGGGCATGGAGGGCACTGGGTACCGGGCAGCAGCTCACCTACTAAATTATCACCAGATAACAACCCGATCCGGCTTCAACTTACATTAAACAGCTGAATGCATCTAACCAGCGATAGCCAGCAATTACATTAATAAGCACCTGTATCAATATGTCTCGGTCAGAAGAATTAAATCGTCACCATCTCGTGAACGCGACCAACGAACACAGACTGATGGGTGAACGATAAGTTAAGAGACACCGGCAGCGATATCTTCCAACATTCTATATTCTCTGTTAAACAGAGGTGTATATAGGGAATTGGTTATTTAGTCTTGGGTGTATTAGCAGAAGATTACACCCTGAGATAGCGACCCTTACCCTAGTGTTAGGCAGCCAGGGTAAGGGTAGGGAGGGGGTTAAGGGAGGAGGGAGCAACCCGCCCTCACAACTTTCTCCCGCCAAAACTCACACATTGTTTACACATTTTCCCGCCTTTTTGTCTTCGCGCGGTTACACTCCGGCTCATCCACCTGATCGATGGCGGGAGTTCCGGCTTGCGCCAGGACATACGCCGACTGGTGGCCCTCGGTGGAGAAATACGCAAAATTACACGAGATGAGATAGAAGGGCCGGGATAGAAGGGCCGGGATTCAAGGCTCGAGGAAGCAGGAGTACGTAAGTGGTAGGGGAAAATGCCAGCGTGGGCTCTAGCCCCGCGGCCGATGGCGTGATAGCGCCACGGACAAACCTTTTCATAGATTTAATTTAGATAACCATAAAAACTTGGGTTGAGAGACGCAAGGCAGATAAATCGAGCTGATGATAGTGTTGATTGTCGAGCTATGATTGTGATGGTGATGATGGTGGTAGTGGTGGTGAGGGGCCCCTGCAAGATGATTATGTACCCGCTGACTTTCGTGCTATATTGATTGATAGATTGGCTGATCCTGGGCGTCTGGCCACGAAGGGATTGGCACTCAACAGATTCGAATAAATTATACTAGGTTAGGAACTGGTAAGTTGTTGTGAAGATCATCGGGCAGGTTAATAGCGAGGTGAGAGAGAGAGAGAGAGAGAGAGAGAGAGAGAGAGAGAGAGAGAGAGAGAGAGAGAGAGAGAGAGAGAGAGAGAGAGGGAGAGAGAGAGAGAGAGAGAGAGAGATATGCCCTGACCAGTATGCCCCAAGAGAGACAGCGTCTGACAAGAGATGATTGTGTCAATGGGAGAGACAAGCCCTTGCAGGGATCCCCATTATAAACACACACTCATGAAGGCATCATTAACACACACACAGTATGTTCCCTCAGTGTTATACCACGCTAACATGGCGGCCCTCAGCTATGTCGATCACTGCTTGCTGTTGCAATTGTGCTGCTTACCTAACACTGTCTACAATAACGTGATGAAACAATAAATACTGAGTCTCTACGAGAGAATTCGATCCCGCTCTACAGCAACATACTCTACAGGCTCTCTTTAACGTTCATACTTAGATTTCAAATAACGCTCTAATATTAGCCAGGTCCCCAATAAGCTGCTAATGTCTTGTTTCCTTTTCTGTTCCTGTAGTTGCCTTTCCCTTGCGGTGAAGATTTCTTCTGGTTTCCTATACCCCTTTACCATCTCCATTACCTTACATTTGTTAGGGTTGAACTCTAACAACCATTTGTGTGCTCATTCCTGGAGTTGGTCAAGGTGTCTTTCACGACAGTTCTCCATAGTTTTTACATTTGCAAACTTTTTCAGTTTGTTTCTTCACATACATTAGCAACAATAGTGGTCCCGAGCCTTGAGGTACCCCAGTTGTCACATCACTCAATCTTAACACCTTTCTGAGTGACTGTTTCCTCTCCGTCAGGCACTCCTTTACCCAGCTTAAATGTCTTCCCGGCTGTGCTAAACTATATCAACGACTTTTGGATAATCTAGAAGATGTAGTCAACCCAGCCCATGAGATCTGGAGCACAGGGGCCAGATTCACAAAAGCGCTTAGGAACGTGTACATCTTTCCTCAATCTTTGACGGCTTTGGTTACATTTATTAAACAGTTTACAAGAATGAAAACTTGCCAATCAACTGTTGTTATTGTTATAAACAGCCTCCTGGTGCTTCGTAGCTCATTAACTGTTTAATAATTGTAAACAAAGCCGCCAAAGATTGAAAAAAGATGTACAGGTTCGTAAGTGCTTTCATGAATCTGGCCCTAGGCCCGGATCGTGGCGGCTGGGTCCGTATTTATTAGAGAGTTTACAGCTTTGTAACTTAGGAGTCAATACTCCGTCTACCACACTTTCCATCCCTTTCACTCTCTCCATCATTCTCCACCACTCTCTCCCTCACAGCCTCAATTCACAATTCCCAAACAACATTCAGCTCCCCCTCCCCCTTCCTCCCTCGCCCCCCCCCCGTCCACCGCCCCCCCCCGTCCACCGCCCCCCTCCCGTCCACCGCCCGCCACCGCCCCCCCCACCCACTGGGCGTCAGGGGTCACAGCCCATTATTACCTGTAACTGATTAATTACCTGTTGATTACCTGCTTACCCTTTGACCCCGGGGCCGCTGGGCTTGCCTGCCCCCCACACCTGCCACCCCCCGCCACCCACACCTGCCAACACCCGCCACCCACGCCTGCCAACACCCGCCACCCACGCCTGCCACCACCCACACCTGCCACCACCCGCCACCCACACCTGCCAACACCCGCCACCCACACCTGCCAACACCCACCACCCACACCTGCCAACACCCGCCACCCACGTTAGGAACAGAGGACAATGAAGAGGCAGTAAAGAGAACCAGAAATGAATACACCCGAGTTAGGAGAGAAGCAGAGAGGCAAACCTGAAAATAACATTGCTGCAAAAGCTAAGGAGCAACTAAAGCTGTTCTATATAAGGAGAAAAACGACAGTGAGAGACCATGTACTCAGACTGAGGAGACTAAGGGGGCGAATTTTCCCAGAAAACAATAATAAGGTATGTGAGGAACTGAAAAGATTTCAGGAGGTCTTTAAAATAGAGCCTTCCATCCTAAGTTTGTGGGATGAAAGACCAGAAGAAACAATGGATGACATTGTAGTCACTTTAGAAGAGGGGAAAAAAAAACACATGGAGGAACTAGACATGATGACATCAATAAGACTCGGCTTATAAGTCTCACTATGGCTCTTGAAGGAGGCTGCAGAAACACTTTGTCACAATCTAAGACTTTTAATAACAGACTTGAGACAGGGAAATCTCGTAGAGTTTTGGAAAAAGGCAAAAGTAATCCCAATATTAAATAAAAGAATAGACAAGAGGCCCTAAACTACAGAACTACAGACCGAGATACAGATACAACAAGGCTAGTAGGCAGGGCATAAAGAGCTACAACACCCCCCCCTCCCCCCATTCTAACCCCACCAACCCTCCCTCTCCCTCCCCCTCCCCCCCACTCCAACCCCCCCACCCCCACCAGGCGTGGCCCCGCCCGATAAGACTCGTCACAAAAGCCACCCCAACAATCAAGATGGTTCACCACTTAAAGACCTAAGCGCAATAACAACATATTTGTCCCCCCCCATTATCTTCGTGTTATCAGAGGGCTCCAGAGCCTCCTACACCCCCCCACTCCCCCACCACCCTCCACACAGGCGGAACCAAAGAGACAAAGCTCAACCCCCGCAAGCACAACTAGGTGAGTACACGCGTCTTCATACATACATATACTTACTGCATGCAATCCCCCCTACACCTTTATCTGTATGATATACATCTACTTTATCTGTATCATATACATCTACTTTATCTGTATGATATACATCTACTTTATCTGTATGATATACATCTACTTTATCTGTATGATATACATCTACTTTATATGTATGATATACATCTACTTTATCTGTATGATATACATCTACTTTATCTGTATGATATACATCTACTTTATCTGTATCATATACATCTACTTTATCTGTATGATATACATCTACTTTATCTGTATGATATACATCTACTTTATCTGTATGATATACATCTACTTTATCTGTATCATATACATCTACTTTATCTGTATGATATACATCTACTTTATCTGTATGATAAACATCTACTTTATCTGTATGATAAACATCTACTTTATCTGTATGATAAACATCTACTTTATCTGTATGATAAACATCTACTTTATCTGTATCATATACATCTACTTTATCTTTATGATATACATCTACTTTATCTGTATGATATACATCTACAATAAATCCCATCTACACAAACTCACATCACATCTACACACAAAACAAATCAAGTTACAAACAAGTCCAGGTGCAGAGTAAGCAACACCCTCCCCCCCCCTCCCTAAACAACAACGATTAATATATATATCAATTAACATATTAACATAAGTACATACATTAAAATGATCCCCTCAAGCATTAAGCGCTAATAACACCCTCATTATAACGACCGCCGCTCATAACGAATGAGGTAATATATTCATAATACCCCTCCACAATAATGAGTGTGTGATGAGTTGATGTTGTGAGATATTATATCCCCCCCCCCCCACCCCCTCTCTCTCTCTCTCTCTCTCTCTCACCCTAACCTCCCTCTCCCCTGCCCCCCCTTCCCTTGTCTTCCCACTATGTACGTCCCTCCAACCCCGACCCTTTGGCTCTTTTTTAATTAATGTGTGTGTTTATGAGGTGGTAGTGAGGCAAGGAGGCGCTGGAGGGGCTGGTCTTACCTACCTCTGAGCATCTCCTCCCTGCGTCTGGATGAGGAGTGAGATGGTGAGATAGTGTCGGGAGGAGTGGGGGGAAGGGGGGAAGGGGGAGTGAGGTGTAACCTACCATTACTGCACAACATGTTTCAACACACGCCCACGCAACCTCTAACCCCCTCCACCCCCCATTTCAATCCTCTCCCCTCCATCCCCCAACATACACACACACACACACACACACACACACACACACACACACATACACACACACACACGAGCAGCACGAGGCAGAAACAAATGGGCAAAGTTTCTTTCACCCTGAATGCCCCTGTTACCTAGCAGAAAATAGGTACCTGGGAGTTAGTCAGCTGTCACGGGCTGCTTCCTGGGGTGTGTGTGTGTGTGGTGTGGAGAAAAAAAAAAAAAAAAAAAAGTAGTTAGTAAACAGTTGATTGACAGTTGAGAGGCGGGCCGAAAGAGCAAAGCTCAACCCCCGCAAAAACTCAACTAGTAAACACACACACACACACACACACACACACACACACACACACACACACACACACACACAGCTCGAACTCCACTACTCATTCACCGACAATTTCAACACCGGCATAACCTTGTGTTGGCAGCTCCTATCTATAACCACAATTGGGTGGTTATAGATAGGAGCTGCCTCGTATGGGCCAATAGGCCTTATGCAGTTACCTTGTTCTTATGTTCTTATGTGTGTCCAGCACCCGAGATGCCAGCCTCTCCGGGGTCATCTCCTGACCTTGTACATCTTCAGCTTTACACTCTTACAAAACTCTCTTGGTGCATTTTGTCCAACTTAAATTTCTATCTTCGAGGAGTGAAATCCTACGCCAGAGAAATTAAATCCTATTCCAGAAGAAAAGAAGACCTTTGCAGATAAGATGATTCCTGCTCTGAGGCATGAATCGCATTGCAATGAGGGGGATGATACCATTCCAGTAGGAATGTCCCCTTTCTTGTTCCATACTCCTGTTCCACTCTGGATATCCTATTCAAACTGCAATATTTCAAGAAGAAATCATATTCCAATAGCTTCATTTATAGAAGATCCCAATTATACAGGAAAACTTGTTCCCTCCCTTTGGAAATCATATTCCAGAACTTCACGACGGTTTATGTGGAAAGTTCCAGTCATCTGTAACTGCCAATATAGTCTCTACCACCCCACCGCCGCCGCGCCCCCGCCAACATCACCAGACTGTGGACAAACAGCTTCCAAACGCACGTTCAAGCATTTTCTAGATCAAAAGCACCACTCCCTTCCCGACTATCGGCTGGGGATCTCACTCGTTGCTCTGCTCTGCTTCTATCTTCCCAATCATGGCGTGAGGAACGGGTTTCACAGCTGACTTTCTCCCAATTAACGGTGGAGTACCTCGGGGTCCTTATTGGTTCCTCCGGCGCTTCTCGTTCGTATTGCAGGCCTCGTAGCTAAGTGACAGGATGATCAACCCAACTGTGACGGGGTACAAGTGACAGGATGAACAACCCAGCGGGTTTTCTTCCTATTGGGGGGTGTTGTACATGCAGCTATGGCGGTGTGTTCACCCACAGGATGAGTGACGCTGCCCAATAAACTCTCCTTTCAGGACAAAAAAAAAAAAATAAAAAAAAATCTCACAGCAGCAGGAAGTCCATAGCTCAAAACCAAAGTTTTCCTATTTTCCTTCTCGCTCTATTGTTTGTTAAGTCTATAATCTGTATTGCAATGATTAAGGCTTACAGTGTGATTAAGTGCCTATTCTAAACTGTAAACACACGAATATGTGTTTACATATTCGTTTACATATTCGTAAACACACACACACTCTACCCCACAGCTGAGGGCGTGGGGTAGAGATTCAAAAACACGATAGTTTTTTTTTCCTTTCAAAAGCTAAGTATGAAAGATGAACAAAGCCTTAAAGAGCCTCTTTTATAGAAACCATTTTCAGAATTATGCCAAAAAATAAATGTTCTACTAAGAAAGACAGTGCCACGCCTCATCTTGGCTTCCAGTGTCACGGTTCATCTTGGCTTCCAGTGTCACGCCTCATCTTGGCTTCTAGTGTCACGCCTCATTTTGGCTTCCAGTATCACGCCTCATCTTGGCTTCCAGTATCACGTATCATCTTGGCTTCTATAGTGTCACGCCTCATCTTGGCTTCCAGTGTCACGCCTCATCTTGGCTTCCAGTGTCACGGTTCATCTTGGCTTCCAGTGTCACGCCTCATCTTGGCTTCCAGTGTCACGGTTCATCTTGGCTTCCAGTGTCACGCCTCATCTTGGCTTCCAGTGTCACGGTTCATCTTGGCTTCCAGTGTCACGCCTCATCATGGCTTCCAGTATCACGCCTCATCTTGGCTTGCAGTATCACGTATCGTCTTGGCTTCCAGTGTCACGCCTCATCTTGGCTTCCAGTGTCACGCCTCATCTTGGCTTCCAGTGTCACGCCTCATCTTGGCTTCCAGTGTCACGCCTCATCTTGGCTTCCAGTGTCACGGTTCATCTTGGCTTCCAGTGTCACGCCTCATCTTGGCTTCCAGTGTCACGCCTCATCTTGGCTTCCAGTGTCACAATCGCCGTGTTTCAGGCCACATATGCAACAACCCTGCCAGACATACAGGGCCTTGCGTGCCCATATCTGGAACTCCACCACTGGTACACCACTCTTGGGCACTCACCATCTCTTGAAGACGACGCCCACGACGACGACTCCGTCACTTACCTGAAACAAATGACATGACAGTGAGGGGGAAGTGTCACATCAATACTATTATTGGGTGATTATAAGAGTAACGTCTATATATGTTAGCTGGTAATTTGTATGTATAGAGACATATATGTAAACATAGCCTCTCTGTCTCTCTGTCTCTCTCTCTCTCTCTCTCTCTCTCTCTCTCTCTCTCTCTCTCTCTCTCTCTCTCTCTCTCTCTCTCTCTCTCTCTCTCTCTCTCTCACTCTACGAGAGAGAAGCTTAACCCGTACCTCAGCTCTATCTCGAGTAGACAGAACAAGCCCCCAGCCCAATGCTCTATTTACAGAGCTAAGAACCAACTACTCATTACAACCGCCCAGTACCCCAGGCCTCACCCTGGGTACCGGGGCGTTGCGTGTGCCTGATACCAACCAAAATAGAGACCTCAGTCAGCAATTTGGGTCAGTTAAATAATATATTCCGTCGTCCGTCTTGGCAGGTGGTGAGCGCTTAAGAGAATGTGTACTTTGGAGGTAATATAAGCGAGCTCTTTGACGTCTCGTTTAAAGCCGATTGGGCTTAAATTCACCCCCCCCCCACCCTTGATTAAAATGGTTAGATGTTTGAAGGGTGATTGATGCTTGGAAGGGGTTGAGGGGGGGGGAAGGGGGGTGTAGGAGTGTGTAAATAGTGGTTGTGGAAGGGGGGGAGGGGGGGGGAGACTATTATGTGGTCTTCAGGGTGATCTGAATAGGGTGTGTGTGTCCAGGAGTCTGTCTAGGTTATCTTATTCTTGCACGCAAACGCACGCACACACGCACGCATTCACATTTCCCCCTCCATAGAACAATGAGTGAGAAACAAGGGACTTCAGGAATTCAGACTGGTTATCTTGAGGTTATCTTGAGATGATTTCGGGGCTTTAGTGTCCCCGCGGCCCGGTCTTCGACCAGGCCTCCACCCCCAGGAAGCAGCCCGTAACAGCTGACTAACACCCAGGTACCTATTTTACTGCTAGGTAACAGGGGCATAGGGTGAAAGAAACTCTGCCCATTGTTTCTCGCCGGCGTCTGGGATCGAACCCAGGACCACAGGATCACAAGTCCAGTGTGCTGTCCGCTCGGCCGACCGGCTCCCAACTGTATGATGTTCACTATGAAACTGTCCCTTGAACATGAATATGGCCGCCGTAATACTAATAATACAATAACCAAAGATCACTTGAGAAAAGCCATTGAAAATCAAGAAGTCTTAAACCATCAAACACTCACTACAGCCTCCTCTCCCCCCTCCCTCTCCTTCTCCACCTCCTCCAGAATCTTCAACTACAGACATAATTAACCAGGTCTGTAGTCAACTGAAATTGTTGACAAACTACCCGGGGAGAAGAAGGAACGCGTCGTAAAGAGACCGTAGAGGTCAACATCCCACCGGAAACACCGCTTCCGTCGACCATACGTCCATCAGCATCGTGGACATGAAGGAGAGATTATGAGAGCCGGATAAGCCACGACTTACATGACTATGTAAACACATGGAAAGGATGCTGGGAAAGGATACAGGGAGGGAGGGGGGGGGGAGGGGAGGGTATTAGGAAGGCCCGGTGAAGAAACAAGTCACTTTGACCATCGGGGATCGAACACCAACCCTGCAAGAAGCGCTGACCAGCCTCCTAGAATGAAAAGTACTTTTTCGTAAATATTTGGTGGAAAGTATCAGAGTGGTGGACCACCAGAATGTTGAAACCTGAAGCGGTAGTCGCAGCATCTATGTAAGACCCCCAACCTAACCTCTCCTAGCAAGCCTAGGCCTAACATAGCGCATATATG